GTCTGTCAAAACAGACTTCGAGGGCTAGGATATGCCCTTAAACAACTTCGAGGGTTAAATTGATGCCAAAAATGATAAATTGAGTCTACTACATGAGTAAAAATAGCTCTTAAGCTTTATATATATATATATAATTCTTATTTAGGGGAGGGGAGGAAAATTTTGCTCTAATGAATACTAAAGTCATAATTTAAGAGAGATAAGAACTTTAATCATATGTGGTTGTCAATAAAAAGAGTAAAACACAAAGAATTATATGAAAAAGTAAGAAAAATAACCTTTAACTATCTTCATATTTGATTCATCAAACCGAACTCTCTAAAATATTTCAAGAGTAAAGATAATGCAATTATCATATTATATTTCGAAGTTGTTTTCACTTTTATTTTGATTAGATAAATTAACTGTAATTAGAATCAAATATTTACAGATATAATATTATTAAAAGAGACCTCAAATATGAACTATATAATAGACATGAGAATATATATTTAAAAAAAAGTTTGGATGAATCACTAATTAGATTTGATCCATTTGAAAGTAATTGTGTTTCTTTTTAAATAATTTGGAGTGATTATAAGATTATATATGTTAATAATCCTTTTTAATTATTAATAATTCATATACATTCTGTAAATACAATTATTTGAATCTAATATCTTTAAAAAAATAATACTCCTTTAATCATTGAAATTACTTGACAGATTCAAAATAATTGTGATTCTAAAAGTAGTAATATGACATTGTTATCTTTTCTACTTATTAAAGTGGAACCCTCGATAGTGGTGAATGTATGTATATTTTAGGATAGATACGTGTCCATCTTGAAATTCGAATTTTTTATGTTATTTGTTCATTTTACTGATGGTGTTCACCCTGAAATTTTATTGGTGTTTACCTCATATAATACTTTTTTTTATTATTAATACACATATACCTACTCTAATTTTTTTTGGATCCTTCATTTACCCTAGGGACATTCATTTCCTTGATAATCAGGTATTGCTGCACATAATTTAGAGAAAGATAGGTCAGTTAGCTTGGAATGAAAAAGAAAAGCATAACTAGAGGTGGAAAAACAATGGTCTCCATTTCATAATTGTCTTATTATATACATGACATTTCTAGATTTCTCCTACATAAATCCCTCTTTGATTTATGAGAGAAATTGATTTTTCACCTACCTCATACTAAATTTGTGAAGAAAAACAATGTCCCATTCTCATGTTTATCCCTCAATAGGTGAATTTTTAATATTTTATTTTAATATAATGCCAAAATTAACCTTCACTGTTATTAAAATGGTCATTTTATCTCATATTCTATTTTTGGAGTATTTTGGCCTTCAACGTTTCATTTTAGGACAAAAAGGCCCCTAACATTTGACAAAATAATAAATTTATCTCTTATTCTTTTTTCCTGGGGCATTTTAACCCTCAACGTTTCATTTTAGGTTAAAAAGTGTTCATATTTTGGAGCGTTAATCGTGTGTTAACTAATAATTTTCATCTATAGAGGAAACTTTTTGTCTCAAAGTTAAACGTTGGGGGGTAAAATGCTCAAAAAAAATAATATGAAAGAAAATGACCATTTTGATCAACGTTAGGGGCTATTTCTGGCATTATGCCTTTTATTTTTTACATGTAATGATATGTTAAATCACAATTTTATGCCTAAATATTTATGAGTGTACTACATTTATCAAGTGATCTTAGTGGGTCTCTGAGTGTATGTATATTGTCAATGATTAAAAAAAATTATGAACAAATACTACCTTATAATCATTTTATACTATTAAAAAAATTGTGTGTTTTCCATAAATGATGGTAAGAATAGTTGTTTTCTAATTAAGTAGAGAGATATTATACGTTCTTGAACATGAGAGATATTATATTTTTAAGGCAAATGTCAGAATTCGAACCACATAAATTAGTTAGGATAATACGAACATTCTTAATTACTCGATCAATTAATAGATCTAGGTAAAAGTAACTCTTTAAAGAAATGTTTGGTGTGGTTCATTTCTTAATTAATGATTAATAATTAATAATTAAACGTTGTTTGCTTATAAAATGGGTGTTTTTATAACAATAGAAAGTTCGTATAGTCTCCTTCTAGTATAATTAAATCTTTTTAATTAAAATGTGGGTTATATGCAGAACAAAAACACGGTTTAGGATATTAGATTTCCTTAATTTGAAAGCTTTTTAAAGATATTTTTAAAGGCATAACGATTAAAAAAATACAGTTAACCTTTATTTAAATAGTTATCTTGATTTTTATTTTTTTATTATTTTGACTTTTAATTTTTTATTTTAGAATAAAAAAGTTCTTAATGCTTGATTAAATAAACACTTGAATCCTTATATTTCTAGAGTTTTTTGTTCCTCAATATTTTATTTAGTAGAAAAAGATCCATATCTTATATTGTTTATTGACTAACGATTTCCATCTACGAATGTGTCTTTTTACTTCAAACGTTAAGAGTGACACACTTCAAAAAGAAATAAGGTCAAAATGACTTTTTTTAATCAAATATTTGAAATATTTTTGTCTCCCAAATTTAATAATGTAGGGAAGTGAGAAAAAATATTTCCCCATATAAAGCTCCTACCATATTATTTCTCGAACTAGGGTCATTGCTACAATGTCAAGGGGAAGATGTCAGGAACACCATATGACTTCAACTTTTTTGAAGAAGACACATGGATCACAATACGTCTTTTTCATTTCTAAGAATTAAAGTTGCATGGTGTTTCTTGCATCTTCCTTTTACACTATAACAATAACCCTAATTCAAAAAATAATATGGTATGAACCTTATACAAAAAAAAAATTATCCACTATCCTACATGAGCAAAATTGCCTAAAAACATAATAACATAAGCAAAGCATAGAACAATAAATTTCCTTACCCTTGTCTTATGTGTAGTTTGTTAGAAATTTGTTGAATGATGCACATTTGCTAGCAAAGAAGAAGATAAAGGAGGACCTTAATAAATGCAACGGTAGAAACTCACAGTGAATTATTATTATTTTTATTTTCTTTATTGTTTCCATCTGTAGTTTTCCTTTAGTAAAATCTACAGCTACCATCTGTCTCCATTCACCTATAAATCTAACCCACCTAACTTCCCTCTCTCTCTTTTGCAGGCATAAGAAGGAAAGGTGAAGATTACATACATAAGTTATGTTTGTATTCTATCGTATATAAAGATAGACGTTAGATTTTATGTTAAAATTTTAAAGATCGAATTAAAAATTTTAGAGGATGAGAGTAGATTATCAACATAAAAATATAATAAAAATATTTAAATTATATAAAAATTTAAAAATTTCAGAAAATAAATATCTGGCCAACTCTTTGGTTCTATCCCTAATAGTATCATAATAGTATTTAAAATATTTTAATTTTATATAAATAATGAATTAATGTATATCTAAATCGATCCACTTGATACAAACTATATATATATATACATATATTTCTGAGATAGGATCCTGTTACACAATGCAAAACTCTTTTAGTTTTACACAGATTTAAAATCGTTGAATGAGTGTAAATAGATATATGAGGTTGACAGTAAGAAGTAAGAAGACATTTACGGGAAAGGAAATAATTAGTCATTCTCAATCATCTATTTTCATTCATACAATAATTCAAAATCTATATATAATTTTACATTGTATAAATGAATCTTAACCCTATATATACACATTTTCATTCGTAAAATTACGGTAGATTCATATTAGTTAAAACCAGGAGGAGGACAATTTGCATTTGTATATATACATTTATTAGTTTCTGATTTCAGACATTTATAGTGTTGTTGTTGTTTTTAATCTTTTTTCTTTTTAGTCATAAACGAGGGTGTGGCCTTAAAGTTGCCACCTTTTTTCTAAGCCTCTGGTCCTATGACAGTAAGGTCCACCGCCAATGTTCATGCATATAATTATATGCACGAATGGATACAAAATTTTATTTTATGTATATCGAATTTAAAACTTTATAAATTAAAAATTATACGAATGTAAAACTACAAAAGTTTAAAGATGCAAAATTAAATTATTAATAAAAAAATTAAAAAAATATTTAAATTATATGTAAATTTAAAAATTTCAAGAGATACGACTACATTTCAATACCACTCAATCCATTTTTGATCAGAATTCATTAGGTTTGATAACCAACCATACTAATCATCAACATGAACAACAAAAAATTGTGTTTTTCTCATTTTCTCTCTCTTCATACATGTATATATTTAAGATCAGAGACGAACATATAATTTTATGTTATAAAGAATGAATTTATAAAATTTTAAAATAAATTATAAAAATATATAAAAAAATAAAATATATAATAAATTGAAATTTTCAAAAGGTTAACTATCTCTAGTCATCCCTCCGTCTATCTTTGATAAGACCCCCAAAAGAATTAAAAGTTTCTTATCCTATATGAAATTGCCAAGAAAAAAGGAATTAATGCAGAGAAAAAAGCATATATATGCATATATTATTTATATGATAATAAAAAATTCTTATGAATTATCTACATATGATCATGTTTAAACTGTTTTCATTTTCCTGTCGGCGGTATTGAATTAAAAATACTCATACGTTACTAATAAGGTTGATTCAAGTAGAGAGTAGTATGATATCGCTTAAGAAGATTTGAGTTCGAGGTATTGTGTATGCATAAAATTCTCACTAACAAACTCACCTATTAAAATCAGATGTACGACATAAGTCGATGTAAATTAATCAGAATGAAACCCTAAAACTAAGAGAAAAGAAAAAAATACCCTAAATCACTTACTCTCACCCTCTATTCTTGTTACAGGCAGACAAGGTATAGATTTAGGCACACGTGCAGATATATTGGCCAAATTATATAAAATCATATATATAAAGTAAAATCAAAAATTTTTTTTTTGAAAAAGGAAGAAGAACAAATGAAAGATTTGTGTGCTAGCAAATATATATAATCGCCTCAATTTGCAGAACAAAGATTTGTTTTTTTATCGTTTAAATCTAGGTTAGTACTGAATTATTACAGATGTAGATCCAAACTCACATGGTCTTGCAATCTTGGCTTCCGTTCATAAACGTACCGATCCTGGGAAGTTGAACCACCGCCGCCAGCAGCAGCAGCAGCAGCAACAACCTGCGAAGGTGGCTTCAATACATCGCCGGAAAACAAAGGCAACGGATGCGATGATGCTGATGAGAGTTCACTATTGAAATTAGAGGATTTATTTTGAAGCGTGGAAGGAATCGTCCACAGTCCTAGTGGGCTGCCATTGATGGTGGGGCTTTGGTTGCCATGAAACCTAGTGTTCCATGAAGGGTAACTCAAAGCAGGCCTGTGGATAACAAGTCCATAAAGATGAGCATCGGACAAGGAGCTGTGCACCATTGCCGAATGAAGGTGAGCTCTTTTGGCGTGTTGGCGCTCCCTTTTGTGAGCGTTCTGGTGACCACCTAAAGCTTGGGAAGTGGGGAAGTTTCTGCAACAGTAATGGCACTCGAATCTTCTTCTGTTTCCTCCATTGTTATCGTTCTCCTTGATCGTATCCTCAGCTGAGTCCGAGTCGTTGCTGGCAGTAGCTGACTCACCCCCACCGCCACCGAATTCCTTGCCAAACAAACGGATACCCTTGTCTTTAATAGGTGAGGGACGGATAAAGGGGAGCTCAGAGAAGGATTCTACGTTCATGAAGTTTTGAGTTTCCCTTTCGTCCTCCAGGAGAAAGATGGAAGGAAGAAGAAGAGGTGGGTTTGTTTTTTGGTTGGGAGAAGGTGGGAAGAAAGGGCTATGATGTGGTCCGGTGAGGGTGGGTTTGGCACTTTGGGTAGTCAAAGTACACCTCATACGACTTCCATTATTTATAGATATATTCAAGATACCTTTGGTTGTTAATCCTTAAGCATCCACCATCTCTTACCAAAAACAACTACTATAAATGCATGAATTAATTTACCTTAGTGTATAAAAGAAAGAATTATTTTTGTTTCAGGTCATGAATTCGAGCACCAATGACGTAAAGAAATGAATTGAACATTCATTGTCAAATAATTTAAAACAATTATTACTTTATAATCACTTTAACTTAATCAAAATAATAGTAATTATAGATGCTTTATTTTTAATTAAGTAATTGTATATAATTCATTGGGTTTTTTAGAGTAAGAGGAATTACACCCTAAGTACTATCAAGGAGAACTACGATTTCTACAACAAGACAACTCTTTAGCTTCCTTCATGATATAAAAAAAGTATAAGATTTATATTTTAAAGTTAATTTGATTACTAATTATTTTTTATATTTAAACTTATTTTTCAATTGTTGTATTTTTTTTACTTTACTTTATCCCTTATAATATTATTCTATTTATAACTTTTTAGTTTATATCAGTTTAATTAATGTCTCGATCTCAATTCAACCCAATTATATAAGAATTTCTCATTGTTTAGTGATGACTCAATTCAACCCAAATTATATAAGAATTTCTCATTGTTTAGTGATGACTCAATTCAACCCAAATTATATAAGAATTTCTCATTGTTTAGTGATATGTTATAGGCCAATATAGTAGGGATTCCAAACCAGAAAAGAATGTTGTACTTAGTATGCCTCAATGGCATAGCCATAAGATTAAACTATTCGAATTTTGACTTGGAAATCTCAACAGTCCTGTCGAAACGATTTTTAAAAGGACTCGTTTCGAATAATTTAGTGACCCGTTAAGAATAAAACGTGATTCGATGAGTCACCACCAACATTTGATTAGGGTGTGATTGAGAACACAAAAAATATTTGTCATTTTAAAAATGTTAATTTTAATTAAAACAACAAATGTGCCGTCTGCATTATAAAAAAGTTGAGTTCGGGAGTCGGTTACGTGTGGTGAAGGATTAACACCCCACAACACCCTAAATTGATACCTAGTCGATTAATTAGTTGTTTTTGAAATGAAATTTAAGAATTCGAGTCTAATTTAATTTAAGATCCTATAAAAGTAATATTCTTTGGATTTTAGAACGAAACACAATGCTATTTAATTATTTCCTATCGAGAACAATTTATCTCTCATGCCTTAAAGTAGTCGATTCTTACTCCAATTGAAAAAAGAAAATATTATAATTACATCCTAAAGTTCAATATTAATTCAAAATAGAAACACAAAATAATTTTAATAATGAAAATGATAATATCTAATTATTTCCAATTGAAAATAATTAACCTCTCATGCCTTAAAGAAGTCATTTCTTACTCCGATTGAAATGAAGAGATATCACTATTTCGTCTTAAAATTCAATATTAATTCGAGAGAAAACAATAATATCTAATTATTTCCAATCGAGAATAAATGACCTCTCGTGCCTTAAAGTAGTTGTTTATTACTCCAATCGAAATGAAGAGATATCACTATTTCATCTTAAAATTCAATATTGATTCGATAATATCTGATTATTTCCAATCAAGAATAAATGACCTCTCATGCCTTTAAGCAATCATTTATTACTCCAACCAAAATGAAAGGATATTACTGTTTTCAATATTATTCGAGTGTTATTTATTTTGAAATCTCATTGAAAAACACGTGCAAAAATAAAACAAATTAAAAGCATACATCAAACAAGTATAATTAATTAATTATTTTACCAACATTTAATGAGAATAAGGATGTTCAATTATTTAAATACATCAAACGAGACCTTAGAATCGATATAACAGTCTTTTCTTGGTGAACTTAATTAAAAGAACATGATCATTTTCTCAATCCCCAAATTTTAAAATGAATTCAATTTAATTCGTATCGCTTAATGGGATAGACTTTCATTTTAAAACGATCGAAAGTAAATTTCTTATACTTTAAGATAGTCACTTTACAACAATATTAAAAAAACGAATATTACCCTTATTCAAATTATTTTGATTCGAGTCAAGAAATGCATATGAGGGTATCATGCAAAACTAATTAATGACTAAAATGAAATAACATGCAAGCAACATGCAAAAATTAAAATAAAACAACAAGCAAATAGGACTAAAATATAAATAAACAAATCATCATGTCAAAAATTAAAACAAAATAAAGTGCAAAAGTGACTAAAATGAACATTTTAATATTAAGTGCTAAAATTACAAAGGATAAAAATATATAAAACATGGGGACCAAATTAAAATAAAATAAAATTGCATGTCTAAATTAAATTAAATAAAACATATTATAGTTTGAAATATAAACATGATGAAACTAGAGGGACCATTTCATAATTATTTCTTTTTTTTTCTAGCCTAAAACACGCTTTAAAAGAAAATTGGGTAAATTACCTAATCCTTCCAGAAACATTTAAAAAAGTTAAACAGTCACTAAATATGATCAAAATGCAAAAACACGCTAAACATAGAGGGACTAAGAAGCACATAACCCTAAAAAATATAACATGCATAAAAATGGGTAAATAGCAAGTTCGGTCCCTACATGTGACTAACATGCAAAAATATGCTAAACTACGGAGGACTAAACGAAAAATATCACAAGAATTATAAATCATACATAAAAATGGGTAAATAACAGATTTGGTCCTTACAGGTGACTATTTTATAAAAATAAGCTTAAAATGGAAGAAACTATGCATGATTTTCCCCTAAAGTCTTCTTATATAATTCTTTTTTTTATTTCAACCGAATTTAAAAAAAAACAAAAAAATCATCTCTTAAAAATCTAAGGTCTAAATATCCCCAGGCACAACTCCGGCTGTCATACACGGTAATCGAAACCCTTAAATCAAACCTAAACTGCTCTAAACTCCCCGATATATATCCCCAGGCCTATATCTAAGGTCGAAACCTCTTAAAAATCTCCCTAAAAACCCTCAAAGATCCTCAACTCTTTGGATCTTGCACACTCCACGAACTACCCCTTTGGCTTAACTCCAGACTCCAAGGTAACTCTAAATATAACCTGTCTCCTTTATTTTTGTTTCATGCAAGCCTATTTCTTTTTATTTTATTATGTTTTTTTGAAAATCAAAAGTAAATAATAAAAAGAGGATACCTTGAATATTTCTGTTTTTTTATTGCTTCTTTGCTTTCTGGAAAATCGAAAGGGGAACCCTTTTTACAACAACTTATTTGGGTTTTTATAACCCTTGTTTTAGAGATTTATCATCATTAAAAATGAAATCATTACAACTTTACGTGTGGTGTGGTTACTTGTTGCAGAGGTTGGGGTGGCGTGTGATGGTTTCCTTGCACGATTACAGGTGTGTGGTTAGTGGCAGCGGTGACGGATGGGGATTGGAGTAGCAAGGCGGTGGTAGATGATTGGTAGAGATGGCGATGATAGGCTTTTCATCTGGCGACGACGGCGGTTGGTGGCTAAATGGGGTCAAGGTTTGAAAAACACTAATTTCTTTGGGTAATGGGCCGATTGTGGAGGATTGGGCCAGTTGGGTGACTTGGGTGTAATGGGTTCTGGGTTTAGTTTTGTTAGGTTTTGGGTTTGGTTCTGATTTTTGTGGCCCGATTGGGTTTGTTGTAAAGGCATACAATAAAAATAATTAATAATAATAATAATAATAATAATAATAATAATAATAATAATAATAATAATAATAATAATAATAATAATAATAATAATAATAATAATAATAATAATAATAATAATAATAATAATAATAATAATAATAATAATGTTGGGATAAAAACGAGTGTCGACAGCTGCCCCTCTTTGCCCATTCTCGTTTTAACAAGAATAGGGTAAATGCAAAGAGACAATGAGTTTTCGCCCAATCAAATATGTACATGGCGATCTGATATTGTCTCAAATGAGACTGAAAATGAATATCTCAAGAGAGATTTATGAAGATAGGGTCTGAAAAGAGATCTGTTACACTGCTTCGTTAGGGTATATCAAATCAAGAAAAAGGGGATCTGTTCAGCAGCTACTTCAGGAAAAATCAGACTTGGAGACGTTGATTCATTCCGCTGTTCTTCAGAAAAAATTGAATCGAGGTAGACTTGTTCCACTGCTACTCAAGGAAGATCAAATCTAGAAAAAGATTTGTTCCGCTAATTCTTTAGGGAAAATTAGATCTGAAGACATTGATTCATTCCACTGTTCTTCAGGGAAGATTGAATCAACGCAGACTTGTTTTACCGCTACTCAGGGAAGATCAAATCTGGAAAGAGGGGATCTATTTCACTGCTTATTCAGGGAAAAATAAATCTTGAGACGTTAATTCATTCCACTGTTCTTCAGGGAAGGTTGAATTAAACCAAACTTGTTCCACTACTACTCAAGGAAGGTCAAATATGGAAAGAGGGGATCTGTTTCGCTGTTTCTTCAAGGAAAATAAGATCTGGAGACATTGGCTCATTCAACTATTCTTCAAGGAAGATTGAATCGAGGTAGATTTGTTCCTGTTTTCTTCAAGAAATTTTTTATGTTGGGTCTCGACATCTCCAACCTTTCCTTTTGGAAAACCTGCAAGTACTTAATTGCATTTATCATCATCATGCATTTTATGAATGTAATGACCCTATTTATGCCTAGAATGTATGGAACAATGCATTTTTTGGGGTATTTTTTTTTCAAATGAGAACTCTCTTTCGTCCTCCTCCTTGTAATTCCTTCAAATCTTGGGCGTAAAAATCAACATCAGCTCATCCCAACTGCCAATTCTGATTAGACACTCTTTGGTCGATCATGCCTTTGATTCTCTTCACTTGAATCCACACATTAATCATGACCAACTATTTGGTCAGCGACAAACATCTTGGATTACCCTTGACTGTTGAGCTTTTACGTGCAACCCAAGGTTTTAACTTTATATGGCCCATCATCATATACGCCTCATGC